ACAACCATCCATGTGGGAAGGAGAAATACCATGCCTCACTCTTTGGGATTAGGGCATTCTTTTAATTTGCCATTTGGCATTATGAACACAGTAAACAAAGAGAGAAAATATAGAAACCATGTGACTGCTTGTTCCACAGCCGTTTGCACGCTGCTGCTGGAGCCTTGCTTTCAGATGTCAGTACAAAGCTGCCTGCTCACTGATGCTCAGTAAGAAATGTCAGGGGAGAGATAAGCAGGCTAAAAGGAGACTATTTTAGAAACGTGGTCTGTTCTATCATTAGTTCTATAGATAAACTTCCCAACATATTTTTGAAGAGCAAATGTTTTTCCTTAGCCAATTGTAAAGTCAAAAGGAGAGAGTGTTTTAATATGGAAGTGGGGGTGATTTCAGGGCCTTCATTTTAGGGGAGATACTTTAAACTTGTTAGGCTGGTGGTTTAAGCTGCTACTATACTTAAGCCTTTATGTTAAAATGATTCTGCTTGTCAGAAAAATGGGGAAAATGTAAGTCTAAATTTTCAGGACATAAATCAGAAGTAAAGAGAAGATTATCCTCATGTAAGCATTCAGATGATATGGAATGGTAAATAAGGGCAAATTTCTTGATAAGTCTCAGATTTGCAATAAAAAGAATTCATAGAATCATTGAATGATTTGAGTTGGAAAGGACCTTTAAAAGCCATTGAGTCCTGCAGTGATCAGGGACATCTTCAATGAGATCAAATTTCTCAGAAATTCCCTGTCCAACCTGACCTTGAACATTTCAGGGAAGGGGCATCCACCACTTCTCTGGGCAACCTATTCTGCTGTTCCACCACCTTCACCCCAAAAAACTTCCCACACCTTTTAGTTTGAAACCATTGCTCTTTGTCCTGTCACCACAGGCCCTACTAAAGAGTCTATCCCCATCTTTCCACAAGCTTCCTGCAGGTATTGAAAGGCCACAACAAGGCTTCCCCAGAGCTTTTTCTTCCCCAAGCTGAACAAGACAAACTTTGTCAGCCTTTCTGCACAGGAGAGGTGCTCCAGCCCTCTGATTATGTTTTAACCTTCTTCTGGAGCTGATCCAGCAGCTCCAGGTCCTTGCTGTGCTGGGCCCAGGCTGGGGCAGCTCTGCAGGTGGGGTCTCAGAGGGGCAGAGTCCCCCTGGCCCTGCTGCCCACGCTGGGCTCAGCCCAGGGCAGGGCTGGCTCTCCAGCTTCCAGGTACACAGCTCACCTTGAGCTTCTCCCTCACCAGCACCTCAAGCTCTTCTCCCCAGGGCTCCTCTCCATCCTCTCATCCCCTGCCTTGTTCTGACACTGGGGGTTGCTCTGGCCTGGCTGCAGGACCCTGCACTTGATTCATGTGCACGCATTTCCTGAGCTGGTCCATTGCTCTGGGGCTCCTATCCTGGGACCTGTGGTACCTGAGGTGTTCACTGTCCCAGCACACAAGCTCCAAACAGCAAAGGGCAGGTCCCTCATCTGCTGGAAATACTACAGAGAGTTAAACTGGAGAGATTTGTCAGCTTCCCAGCAAAAAAGTGCATTAAACTAACTGAGTATCTGCTTGTGGTTTACTAATGGCAGAGAGCAGCAAAATCAGGTGCACCACGTCTCACTTGTCAATGTTTACAACACAGAAAATGTGTTGGGACCACAAAGGACAAGAGGTGGTTTTACACCACCTTAGGTAGCACATGATGGACATTGTCAAAGACTGGAGAGGTGACAGACTAGATAATATTCTAATTTCTTGAGCTGATCCCAAAAAGGCACACTCAGTCTGTAGATCACCTTTACCTGCAAGCACATATTAAAATGTTCTATTTTCTTTTCCCAATAAAGCATGTTAGTTAACATATTTTTAGAAGTCCTCTTAGTCACATCTAAATGCATGCCAAAGGGATTTAATTTAGACTGCAATTAATTTTCTTCTCCCCTACACAGCAAGTACAAATGGTATAAAAAGCTCCTACATGAAACAGAAGGTATTTTAAAGCCAGCAGAGATGTCAGGCAGTCATGATGTGAGGCAGCAATCAGCAGAGAATGTGACCTATTTGGTACTTACTCTAGTCCTCTGGCTTTGTTATAAATCAGGAGTAACTCCACAGAGCTCTGGTCTATTATACTGATGGAAATGAGGTGCAAGCCAGAGAATAAGATCCTTGATTAATCACAAGAAATTTCTTTCTTTCTGAAATTCTTAGTTGTCTTCAGTATTAAGGTTTCCTCAATATATTCTTTTGGCTTGCACTGGTCATGCTGTCTTGTATTATTTTGCCACAGAAGGTGGCTTTTGACAGCAATATTTGTTAAATTGCATACATTGTAAAGGTTTTGCTGTGCATTTCCATGTGTTTGCAAGAGAGGAAAAAGTCACTTCCCACCACAGCAGCAGAGAGATTCATAGTGTGAAGGCTGAATTAGTTTTAATGTGTGCTTGTCATCTGCCCCAATCTGAACAAAAAGCCTTGAGAACAAAAGGAAAATGGGTAGAGAAATGGAGGGCTCCAATCCACAGTGCTACATTACTGACATGTCACACAACACTGCTTTCTTAAAGTTATTTCTTAATATTTCTGCTGTTCCCAGTACTGACCCTCACGTGGGCTGTCTCCACTTTCATATCAGTGCAAATACACTGTGTTGGGTTAGGTGATTTATTAATGATGGGTCCTCAAAGCAATTCTGCAAAACTTCATTGGGCCTGCACTATCCCTCATAAGAAGAGACACATTTTTGTCCTGGCAGGTCCTTTGGGATTCCCCACGAATGTCAAACCACAATTCCAACAACACCATTGAATTTACATTTAGCAGATGCTACCTGATTACATGAGCCACAAACACGTGGAAATTCTCCACAATGTCCAGAAAATCCCACTTACATTGACACATGGGCAAAGGCAAAACGTGGCCAGGTTTTGACCACAGAAACAGCTGCCTCAACTATGGAACACAAAAGCCATTTAGCAGCTGTTTAATGCTCACACAAAGGTAAAAATGGTTTTAAAAAAGCTTTTGAAAAAGGTTTTCTTCAAGGTATGTTTCATTCTGAAGAAATCAGGAGCATAGTGTTAAAATATAGAAAGGAAAGAATTGACATTGTTCACATGAGGGAAAATCACTGAGATAAACCAACACTCTAAGCAGAACATCTGTTTGGTGGCTGCTTCACACTTTTGCTAGAGAAATGGGAGAATTTGCCTTCACTCCAAGCAGAAAATGAATGTTTTTGAAATGCTGCCATCCCCAAGAGACAGTCCTTGACCTGAACTCATGTCTGAGCTGTTGCTTCTTGAGTCATAACTGATCTCAGTGAAGGCAAAAGGAAACCCCATGGATCCAGCAGGAATTACTCCATCCCAGCTTGGGGATGTGTGTACAGATGAGGCTCACCAACATCTGTGCCATGCATTTCCATCACTTGGACAAATCACTGTATTTTGCTTGAATTTTGTACCTTTGGTGAGGCACCAGGAGATTCTGCTGGCACAGGACACACACACAGGTGCCTGAAGATTTGCTCTACTGACCGCTGTGCTCCTTCCACACATCACACATGCAAACATAACATAACAGAAACCATAGGCAGTTCTTTAACCCCAAATTATCAGCTTAAGTTTTCTGTCTGACAGTTTAAGAACAAAACCAGCAAGGAGCTCTCTGTACCTTCTCCATACATTTCCAAGGCACAAGACACAGCCTGTGAGAAACATCTCCAGCTAAGCTGAAGGGTTTAAAAAGCAATAACTGGAAAGAACCTCCTGTGCCCAGAGCCTCAGGCTACACTTTAAAGGTTTTCTGTGCAATCAGGAAAACTTGCTGTTCTACCACAGCCTAATCAAAACTGTCAGCAGATGGGTTAGTGAGAATGACAACAAATACTGCAAGAGTTAGTGGGAAAGACAACAAATGCTGTGAGAGCTGGAAACACTGAGTCTCCAAGATGGGGCTGGTAAGGAATACAGTAAGGCCCTCGGATGCCTCAGAGAAAAGGTGCTATCAATGTGCTTTTGCTGGAGTCTCACATTTACAGAAGGTAACCAAGGCAGCCCTAAGATTTAAGAACTGAAAGTTTAAAAAAAGAAACCACGAAACAAGCAAAGAATGCAGGATCAGCTTGAACACAGTGATTATGGGAAGGAAAACACTTCCACCTGAAAAAAACAGCAAAGTGCCACACAAAATGCCTATAAATACAATGCATTTAATGTTTGCAGGGTAGGCAGATGCTCACTGGGAAAACAAGTGTGTCTGTACAAGGGATTTGTCATGATGAATCCTGCTGGGTTTTAGATGAATTACTGTGCCACCAGAGCCAACCTGCAGCCCTCCAGCCTGGAGCATCCTTTGGCCTGGCTGTGCCACTGACTCAGATCCCCCCTTGTCCTGCTTTGGGCTGAGAGTTAATTTTCCTCCTGGTCCAGTGCTGTGCTTTGCAGTTGTCATGTTGGTAACACTCTGATGTTTTAGTTGTTCTAAGTTGTTCCTATGCCAAGTCAAGGACTTTTCAGTTTCCTGTGCTTTGCCAGAGAGCAGGAGCACAAGGAGCTGGGAGGGAGCAGAGCCAGGACAGCTGACCTGAACTGACCACAGGGATATTCCAGACCTCAGAACGTCCTGCTCAGCACATAAACTGGGGGAGTTGGCCATGGGGCAGGCATCAGTGCCTGGAGACTGACTGGACATTGGTGGTGAGCAATTGTATTATGCATTGCTCATTTTGTAAATTGTGTTATCATTATTATTATTTTCCCTTCACTTCCTGGCCTACTAATCTGTCTCTATCTCAGCCCACTTTTTCCCTGGCTCCATTCCCCATCCCACTGAGGCTGAGGGGAGCAGTGAGCAGGCAGCTGTGGGTGCCAGCTGGGCTTAAACCACGACACTTCACACCAAACACTGAGTTACGGTACAAAACCCTCCCACGGGCTCCAAGGCACCCTTCAGAGCATATGTTCCAGAGAGATTCAAGAACACCAGCTATTTCTTTATCTGTAGAAGGTATGAAGTGTTGGAACAATTATAGACCTTAAGTCTTAGGAAACAGAAGGCAATTTTCTATTTTGAGACCCTGTAGAACACAGACAAGCATGTGAACTAAAGAAATGTTTTTAGAGGCTCAAGGATGTGCTGTCTCTTTTAGAGTAAGGCTCTAGGTTTGGAGAGCTGTTTGGGTGTTGCTACCACATAAAGAAAATCCCCTGAGCTCCCTGCACTGCTCCAGTGATAAAATCCCTGAATAACCAAATTCACACATAGCAGGGAAACGAGAGCACCCAACAGAGCAGCTGTCACATCACAGGACTCCTTGGGTTTGTATGAAAACAAGGGCCCTTAGTCATATGTGATGTAAAATTTTCCATCAGGTTTTCAGTTCTGATTTCAGGTTACTGAAGCAGCAGAAACACAATACCTTGGCATTAATCACCGAGTGGAACTCCACAATGAGCTTGGTAATACCGAGATTTTCGTGACTCCAGGCATGGAGCTGTACACCAGATTGCATCCCAGTGCACCTCCCACCAGATGATGCTGGCCTGATGAGTCCTACCCTCACTTCTTTAGTGAATAAAATCCAGGAAATTTGACTTTATACTGGATTGTTTTTCTGAATCTGCAGATCATAAAGTACAGCTGAGAATGTGCAGATTGCTGTCCTTGAAAAACACTGCCTGATGCTTTGTGTACACCCACACAGTGCCCCACCACCAATGACTGGGTTTTTCTGTAGTGCAGTGAAAGGATTTTTGAAGTTCATTTTGTATGCCTGCAGTCAATTTGTGCTGTATGAGATTCTTGAAAGACTAAATCCATACTAACATAACAGCCATAAAAAGTTTTGGAAAGTGCAGTTAAAAGATAGATGTATGAGATGGGTATTAAATAAATCTATCTGGGTTTTTTTAAACCCGTAATTTGGAATTGTGTCAACAAACTGCATAATATTTTACATCAGTGGGAAAGAAAAGAGGAAGGGAAAGGGAGCCTTTCCTTTAGAAAATTCCATCAAAATAATAAATGTCAAACATTGCAAAAGTTCAAATATCTGCTCCCCCAAAACAGGATATGCAGCCTGGGAAGTTTTTAATTACATGCTATATTGCCTGAAGAATTAGTGTTTTGGCTTGGGCTGCAAGGAGCTGTCTGTAGTAGATTCACCTTCCTTGGTGCAAATGACATTTTATACAGAGAAAAGAAACTTGTAGATATAGCAGTAGAACAGGACAACGCAAAAACACTAATGGAAAGAACTGGGCAGGGAGAATAATCTCAGCATTTAAGAAGATAACCCAAGTCACAGTGCCCTGTTTAAATGTACAGCACTGCATTTTATTACAAAAGTACACTGGTCATCTCCCCATGTTCTGTATGCAAGAGTATGGAAAGCTTCAGTCAATTAATTATAAATTAAAAGCGCAGGTCTGTGAACTGCTCCTCAATGTATTTTTCACTTATTTTTACATTTCCCTATGCCATGCAAGACTCACCACCACAATGGGAAGAACACTTAAAAAAAATCCCAATGCTTAAACAGTAAATTAAGTGTTTTTATGGAACTGGGAAAGGAGTTTTTTCTGATGGAAAACCAGCTGATGTCCATGACTTGAGATCTTTGTTTATGTTTTAGATAAAGGCTGAGGTCAGAGTAACACTCAAGAACAATGACCAGCCTGACAGCTGGTTTCTTAGGTTATGGGAAGGCTGTAGCTAATCACTGAACATGTGTGTCAAATTAAGCAACAAACACCAAAAAGAAAACTCCAAATGAAATATTTTCCCAGTTTTCTAATCTAATACTGCTCATCTGATATGTAAAATACAGCTGTCCTTCAATTGACTTCCTTTGTTCCAGGAACAGGTTAACAGTGAAACACATCATCCAGATAACTCTCTTTTGGGTACAGATGGAAGAACACCCAGCTCTCAAAACTTCCATCTCCTGGCTGACACAGCAACCTGATACAAATCTCACCTCTGATCCAAAAGCAAATCATCCTCTGCCTCCCTGGTGATAACAGAAGTGCCCATCTTCCCTCACGCAAGACTTCAGAGAAATTTCCGTGGTTTTCAGGTATTAGTCACTACAGAATCATTACAGAAAGCTGCATCATCAGCTCGACAGAAATGTAGGAGGGAGCAGCATTCAAAGATAAATCACTGTCCCCCCTCCAGGCTCTGTCAAGATAAGTTTAAAGCCTCCATCCCCTCCCACACCTGACATTCCTAACTCCAGTCACAGATTACTTGTACAGAGGAGGCACAAAGGTAACCTTAGCAAAATCCTGAGCTGGAGGAGAACTGCAGAGCACTTGGGGAGAGGAAGGGCTGCCTTCTGCTGGAAAGGCAGGGGAAGATGTCGGAGGCACCGGTGACAAATTGCCGGGGCTCAGGTTCTGAGGTGGGGACGCTCTGGTCACTCTGACCCAGCCTGACATCATCCCTGCCCGGCCCCATCCCTGGCACACCAGGCACCCATGGAGGAGTAAGGAAAGAAAGGATTCCTCCACTGGAAATGGGAAGGGGCATTTCCCTGAATCCCTGAAAGCTTTTCCCCCCGAGTGCCTGCAGCAGCAGTGCTGTGGGGTGCCACAAAGCCCCGGCTGAGGGATGGCGGGCACAGGCCCAGAGCCAGATCAGCTTCATGTCGAGGTGAGGTTCCTCACTTATGAAATGAGTGGGGGGCTTGAGCGATCGCACACCGTGCCCAGTTTCCATGCAAAGGAGGAGGTTAACTTTGCCACACGGCAGAGTCGGAGCTTCTGTCCTCACGGAGTCCTCAGGAACACTCAATTTCTTGACCCCGTAGTCTAGGGTGTCATCCTAATCGAGTCCCCTGTGGGTATGTCGGCCTCTGGAGGGAAGTCAGAGGACTCCTCTGGGTCTTCCTTGTTTGACGGTCCTGTTTTTATTCCTTCCCTTTTGTGTGGCTCCTTGTCTCGGGGTTTTTTTATCAGTCTGCGTGTGTCCCATGAGTCTCTGGTTTCTCTCGTTTACATGAAAGTCCTTCTGTCCTCCTCCTCCTCAGGGCCCGGCTGAACAAGGTACAGCAGCTCGGGGCAGGGGTACAGTGTTGGCATGTGGGAGTGTAGGAGCAGTGGGGGCAGGGCCTGGCTGAACAAGGAACAAGAAACAGAGGGTACAGCAACTTGGGACAGAGGTACAAGGTAAGGGGTTTACAAACTGTAACATGGCTAACAATCTTCTAATTATTCTTAACACTTACCTACAGACCCTTCCTCTGCCCCTCCCAGAGCAGCTTTCCCCTCTGAGCCAAGAGCTGTGCTTCTCTCTCCCGGCACCTCTCCTTCAGGGCAGCTTTTCCCGACATGGCTTCGTTCCCTTTCCAGCAGCAAAGGCTGCAGGCCTGAACCCTGTCACCTCAGTACAGCCATTACACCTCCCTGAAAGGCTGCTAATGACCCACAGGTGTCATGGAAAACATGGTACAGGTCAGACCCAGAAACCCCCCAAATTCCTCTTTTCTTCCTCAGGACCTTGCTGCCACTGGCAGTAACAAAAGTGGGGTGGACCATAAGTACAGAAATACAGGAAAATATACAAACTCAAGAATACAGAAACATCCTGATGGCAAGTAGCTGCTGTAATTATTAAGCAGCAATTAACAAGAAAGGCAGCTTAATTCCACGTTCCTGGACCAGCTGTCACACATTTGCAAAAGAATTATAAATTATGTCTTTGATAAGTTGCCCTTATTTGTAGACAGCTCTATGCCAAACACATCCCAGGTCAGCAATTGTCATCTGACTGTGTGAGTTTGATTTGGGGAATCAGTCTCCAGGGAATTGTGTCTTAGCAACACTGGAAGTTGCAATTCTGGAGAGCACCCGAGTGCCATTTTCCTTCCAGTACTTCTGAACATGAGTTATCTCCAGATAATTTCCAAGGTAATTCAGGAGACCCTGATGTTCAAGATCATTAAACTCAGATGAGCTGAGATTGTCCTGCAATCCTAAATCTACTCTGTGCAATTTTAAATCTACTTGGGGTAAATCCTTTGGATTAGGAACATTGGCTTTGATGCTGTAAACCTGTGGTTAATTTAAGCTTATGAATAATTTCATTAAATTCAGCCTTTTTTTGGTACATTTGCAGAAATGCTGCCACGTGCACAGGTTTGTTATGAAAGGCACATTTGCTGTGTGCTGCACATTGGAAAACAAAATGGGAAATGTGGCAGCAGGGGAGTGTGGCCCTTTTTAATGAGGGGATCAGAAACAGCTCCCAGGTGCTTGACCTTCAGTGTTCAGCTGACAACGTGGTTCACTTACATGAACAGTTTAAAATCATCTGCATGCCTGTGTTTTGGAATGACAGGCTGGTTTTTCTCCTTGGCTAAAGGAGAAATGCTAAAGTCCACACTTTTGCATTCTGACCCCTACATTCTTGGGAACAGCTAAATTCACTGCTGTGTTTTCCCAGGATCTTGCTCCAGCCCTCACTGCCTGTTCAGCAGTGACAGAAACACAGGGCTGCCCAAAGCAGAGTAAAGCCTGCTGTTTTATTTATTGTGACTCCAAAGGGAATCCCTCAAGCATGCAAAGATTCAAAAGGGGGAGGAAAGGTTGCTTAAAATAACAATCTTATTTTAAACATGGATTAGAGACTGCCCTGCCTTTCCTCACAGTGCAGCAAGTGACTGCAGTGAGGAGAGTGAGCTCCCACATACTTTGGGAATGCAGTCAGAGGGGTTAAGAGGCACAAAATCTAAACAAAATCACCCAAGAAATACATGAATGGATTAACAAATAGATGTTTAAGTTAGAATGAGGCCTCCATCAGGGCCTTGCCCTGGTGTTTTGAGGACTGATGAGGACCTGCACACCTCCCATGTATAACATTCTCTTTCTACTCTCTCCTTCTTAGGAGCTGTTCTGCATCCGTGGAGTTGAAAGGGTTTATGGCTCATAAAAAGAACTGACAAGCTGTATTTCATGAGGATTGTAAGTCCAAACACAAGTGTTTGTAGCTGCATTGCCATGGTAACAGCAAAAAAATGGGTTATCATTTTCTCAGAGGTTGCTGTCCATTCTTCCATAGACTATTTGGCATAAAAGGGTTTATTGCTTTTCACCAGTGCAGTACTGCAGAAATATTTTTAGCTCCACTAATTCAATTTCATATTCAAATCAATCTGAAAATGAGTTGCCTTCCAGTCTGCCAAAGGATGTCAGGCAAAGCTTTCACTGATTTGGTTTTGCTTTGGCTTGTGATGATAGAATGATTACACCATGTAACAATGTGGAAATGTGTCCCAAAGTTCTAGAATTCCATTATTTCATTATTTCATTTCAATTTCATTATTACTCATTTGAATTTGATATAAAATGTTGTTCTTTGGGGAATTGTGGAGACTTGCACTATCTCTTCAGAGGTCTGAATAATAACAAAATTACACATTCAAAAGTATCTCAAAGCAGATTGAGAAAATTGCATATAGAAGTCCTGCAATATTGCAGAAGACAAGCATAAATTATTATGTTTTACACTAATTGATGCAGAGTATTTAGATATTAATTTACAAATCCAGTAAAATAGAAACCAGTTAACTTCAGAGTCATAACTCCTCTGCTTACTGATGCACAGAATGAGCCAAGCCCAGCATTTCTCCATTCCCAGATGCCTTCTGTGGCCAGCAGACCACATCTCAACATTTTGGATAAAATAAACAGCTTAAGAAGCCTATTCTGGCACAAGCCCTTGGCACAGCCTCCATCACAGCTGCTCTGGGAGCAGACCCTGCACTGTGGGAGATGCCAGAGCTCTGCTGTCCCCAGCTTCATTCTGAGGCCTTCTGCTGCCTCTCTAAAAACAACTGAAAAAAAAGATTAAGTTCTTTTGATAAGATCAAACCCAGGGCTGCTAACACCAGAGACAAGGTTGGTTCATGCTCAGTACAGGGCACTGCTCTGAGTAGATGATTTCTGCAGGGCAGTTTCATTTCTATGCCTGCTTATTCTGAACTGCAACTTCCTGCAGCTGCCAGCAAAATTTTAATGCTGTTTCTGAGGGACCCCTTTGTCCTTGAGACTTAAACATTCTAATATTTTTCTCTTTTTTTTTTTTTAAAACTTAGAATATTTCCATTTACATTAATGTTTTAGCCATGAGTCCAGGTTCAGTGGCAAAGTAGAGAGGTCCATTACAGTTTGAGGGGGAGCTTCCTCAGAACTTTTTTTTTTTCCATTGATCCAGCTGAAAATATTTCTGTGGCACCAGAGAGTTAATGACAAAGAAAGTCAGGCAGAGGTAAGGAAAAATACAAGGAACAGTCTGAAGTTGTAACATGACTTCAAGTACTGCTCAGGAGATCTGAGTACAGAGAGGATTTTGTTAATATGGATTAAGGAAACTTCAGGAATTTGTGAAACAACAGGATCCTGAAAGATAAGGCCAGGAAAACAATCTTCTGCTTGCTAATAACTCCTTGTCTCACAGCACTTGGATTTCTGTCCCTGCCACCCTAATGCTCACCAGAACAGAGAGCCCTGCAGCATTTCTGGGCAGTGGGAAAATGCAATTATCTCACCCTACAAAGGGAAGGACACAAGGCAGAGTCACTCACCCAAATTCCTACAGGCAGCCAGCAGCTCACCCTGTTCAGTGCCCTACCCACTCAACTCCTCCCTGGAGGAACAAGCTCCTGACACCAGTGGCAGAAAACAGATCCACTTTCCAGTACAGAGTTAAGAGAGGGATTTGCCCTTCGTCTGTAAACCAGGTGATTTCTCACATATAACTCAGATTTTTAATTTTGATTTGATTTGGAGCACTAACTCTGTTTAGGTTTTTACAACAATATTGCATTCCTTTATGCTTCTTTCATAATTATTTTCATGGGATTATATGTCATGATATTTCACTATGTAATTTGTCACAATTCCCCCAAAATACCAGGGATACCAACTTTAATTTGCCTGGAAACAGAATGAAAGCCCCAGCCTCTAGCCCAGTGAGGACAGGAACATGTTCTGGATTAATGGTGCAGCCCAGAGCCCTCTGAGGAAAAGGAGAGCACAGAAAGCTGTTTGTGCACTCCTGCTGCAGCACAGGTGTGGCAGCAACGCTAGATCTGGATTTAAATACTGTTTCATGTCCTCCTAAACTTGATCCCAGAATTAATCAGCCCATAACAAGCATTATTAAGCAAGAATACTGAGCCAATGTTGGGTAGACACACAGCACAGATATTACTGTCCAAACCATCTTGTCTTAGATTTTCTGATGTCCTTACTATGATGCTCCTGTCCCACTTTCCCAAAGGGATCTAAGGGCAGAGTTTAGTGATGTTTCAGAGATGCAGGAACATATGGTCCTGGATATTTATAGAAAGAGCCCTGGGACTTCCATGCATGAGGAAAGCCTGCAAGCTCCCATCTGGGACTCTGGAGTGATTTTCTGTCAGTGCAGTGGCCAAAGGCTCTGAGCTCTGATGGACATCAGTGGTCAGTGGTGTCCCCCAGGGGTCTGGGCTGGCCCAGAGCTCTTTAATGTCTGCAGCAGTGACACAGACAGAGCCATCAGGCCACCCTCAGCACATCTGCAGGTGACACCAAGCTGAGGGTGCAGGGACACCCCTGAGGGCTTTTAGATTTTTCTCTGGAATCTGTGAAACTGAGAATAGTGTGTGCAACGAAGTCCTGATTGAGGATCTCTATTGACAAACTCTCATTTTTGAACACTCCCAGTGTCATTTGACATGGGATCAATGCTTGTCAGAGAAATTTATAAATAGAAAGTAATTTCAGCTCTGCCCTTGTAGTCCAGATCATGTGAGAAACTCTGAGCTCCTGGACAAGACTGACTACTCAGCTTGTTTTGGTGAGGCACCACTTCCAGAGCAGAGAGGCTCCCAAGTTTAGAGCATCTACCAGCACAGCCCACATGGAGTAGCTTAGAGTGAATTTTTATGCTTTCCTGTAACTAAAGACACAATTGACAGAGGCAAAAAAGGAGGAATTTTAAATTTTTTTCTTTTTTAAACACACTAGCTGTCCCCTATTGTATTCTCCTCTCCTATTCTTGTTTCCATTACTTCTGCTAATATAGCACTAGGCTTTGAGCAATCTATTAAAAAAAACAACTTATTGTAAAGTTTTCTATAACACAAGGGTTTTCAAAAATATATATATAAAACACAAGCTGCCTGTGCTGCTCAATACAGAACTCTTAACAGTTTAAACCCCTTTCACATCCTTACAATTTTTCCAAAGTCAGATGAATATTGTATATATCAACACTGCAGATCACAGCAGAGTTTTATACAAATGGAATTATTCATTCCAAATTTTAGTAAAATTTAAAAAGAACATTTTAAACATAAATTTAAAAAAACATTTTAAACATAAACATAGATTTTTTCCCCCATCAGTTTGAGCTGTATCAGCCTGAGTTTCATGTTCTTGCTGGGAGCAGGCACAGGCTGCTGTACAGTGACCCCCTTGAGGTGCTGATAATGGGATGGATGGGAATGACAATACTTTTATCAGGCAGCACTCAAGGAGCACAGCCAAATGTGAGAATGGTTCTTAAGCAGTAACTCAGGCTGTGAAATCAGGATGGGCCAGCCACAACTCTGAGAAGGAGCAATAATTTACTTAGGACTCAGCTGCACAGTTTTTGCTTTAGTGAGATTCTTCCCTTAGAAGTGGCGAAATGAGAGAAATCAATGCATCCTGTTTGTTTTTTGCACAGGACTTGGAAGAGCACTCAAAGTTTTATTGATTTTGATCTACAAGAGGCATGATCACCCATAAAGTAACAAAAAGCCCTTGAGGAAAAGCTCAGAGATCAGCAATGGGGATAATACTTATTAAAAATGATGAAAGACCTCATTAATTAATTGGAGATGAATCTACAATACCTGAATATTCACTATTTATTTCTCATGTCTGTTTCTTTTAACTTCTTGTTTAATTTATATTTCTACAAGGCAACTCATTATCACATTCTTTATAAAATATATATTACAAAAACTCTCAAACCACTCTAAACAACTTCTTTTTGCTGAGTAGTGATCAAAGAATATACATCATTAAAACAACCTTTTTACCTGCTGTATTTATGTTTGGGTTTTATAATTCACTCTCAGCTCAGTGTTCCTGTGTGCAGGAAGTGAGATCATCACAGTGAAAGCAGAGAATATTAATGACTCAAAGACTAATAGGCTAATTGCTTATGGGATACTGAGCCAGAAGCCTCAGGTATCAAATGGCTTTTCATTTAATACTGGCAGAGACAGAATGATAAGCATGGAGATTGGAGAGATAACCATGCAGGATGACAATGTGGGTGCCAGGGCTGTGTCCCCTCCCTGCTCAGCAGCAGCCCTGGCCAGTGGCTCTGAGCCCAGCAGGTTCTGCAGTGCCTGGAGGAATAAATTCTCACTCCAGATCCCTGCTCTGGGCACCACGGTGGCTCCCAGTGATGCAGGGACACAGCACTGCTGCAGCTGACACGGGCATTTCCACAGGAACCTGCTCAATACCTGCTAAATACATAAATAAATACAGAAATGCATAAATAATGGCAGTCAGGAAGTGACCACCCTGGCAAACAAATCCTTTTTACATGGAGTATCCACAAACACAGACAATTTCACAGTTACAGACAATTTTACAATTAACACTGCACTGACCGAACTGATCACTCGAACTTTGTTATCCCAACTTTCTTGAAATCAGGTCTAGAACAGATCTTGAATCAGAAGAGCAGATTCTTTCTTGTCAAACTTCACAACAACAATCACAGACCCTGTAGCAGACAGGACAGTTAAAGAACCTCTGCTTCTGCAAAAATATTTCCTTTGGGTCAAGAAGTTCACCTGTGTTTCCTTACCGGTTCTTAGCAACTCTTGTAATGTTTTCCTTAAAGAGTTGGAGGTAAATAACTCTCCCACATTTTCACAAAGGACAGCTTTGCTGCTGTTAGTGAGCTCCTGCCC